ACGGGATTATAATATTCTTAAAATGAAAATCAAAATCAGTATATTTTGCAGGTCTGATATTTCCGAATTCCATTTTTTTAGAATTTCCATTTTTTAAATTAAATTTTTAATTTTGCAATGAATTCCTTGTACTTAATTTTCTTTTAATTGATTTTCTTATATATTCTCAATAAATAAATAAAATATTGTTTAAATTTTATAACAAATTTACTGAATGAACTCTGAATTTTCTATACAGGATCTTGAATTTTAGTTAAATTTTATGTGATTATCGGAAGAAGCAAGACACATAATATAAAAAATATTTTTTCCGCTTGAAAATTTTTTTCAATAAATCAATCAATTTTTCAGCAACCCAGAGTGAGGGAAAGAAATGATACAGAATTGAACCCTTATATTTTAATGAAATTTATAGAAACATTTACTAAAGTGTTTTTTTCTTAGATTTTCAAGTTGGTCATAGTTCTTTCATAATACAGCAATTTCATAAGCGAGATTCATAATGCATTTCTGTTTTGTTTAGTTTTTTTTCCCAAAATATTTTGTATTACAAAACATATCTAAAATATAAGCAACTACCGTAGTTCCAACAATCCAACCTTTAAGTAGGATTACTTTTTTCACTGCATGTCAATATCCCCCTAATATCAAGATAAATTTCTTATACACAGAGGACAATAAAATTGATTTTAATCTAAAATCGCGAATTTCACTCCTTCTTAAACGCTTTTATATATGAACGTGTTTACATAATATTAAGAAAATTCAAAAAAATTGTCAACATAATTTTTGAATTTTTCTTTAAATTCATCCTACATTCTTAGAATTTTATATGCCACATTTATTAGAAACACGTGTTTAATGTATTGTAGGTACATAAAAGCTCTTGTATATATGTTTATGTTTATTTTAGTGCATTAAGGAATAAGGATTTTACATCTTTTCAATATAACGCACAGACATCATTCGTATATCTTTTTGTATTTATTACTGTTATTGTTACTCTTCGTCTTTTCTTTAGAGAGAATTTTGATTTCAAAGATGTTCATTTTCCATATCAGCCTCCAAATGTAAAATATTTATCTAAAGGATAAAAAGGGAGCGCAAACGAATCGTGAATAAGATGTGAAAAAAAGTAAAGTAAATGAAATTGAAAGTACATATTTTATGTAATAATGAAATGGAAATGCGCTTACGTGGATGTTTTGTTGAAAAGTTTATTTTCATTCTGTATATTGTATAACCTTGAAATACAAAAGGAAAAAATTTAAAAAAAAAGTAAGCAAAAAAAGAAAACAAAATCATATATAAGAAAATCTTGTAATATCCTTTACATTTATAACAAAAGAATAAAAAAATAAAAAGGATATGAAAAGATTTCTAGCTTGATATAAAACGCTCATATAATCGTCACCATTATTATAATTTATAAAATATACACAATAGCACATTAAATGGAGACCGGCATATGCTATACAAAATTTAATATGACCATACTGACATAGGATATCCGAATGCAGAATCTATACTAAATGGTTTTCTATAAGCAATATTTCCAATACAATGGCTTTTGTTGAAAAACTTTAAGTGCTTCGACGACAGTGCCTATTGATTCAACAATTTCGAAAATGCAATTTTCTTCTTATTTTTTGCTTTGCTCCTCTATAGCGGTTATATGTATTCTAAATTGCATTATTTACATTCATGATTCTCTTTTATTAACAACAAAATGATAAAAGAATAATTTCAAGTTTTCATTTCAGAATCACTATTTATTGTACATAAGTGAATTTGTTAAAGTTTTTCGCTAAAAGTTATAAAAGTATTATAAATAATTATTATTAACGAAACAAGAAAGTTGTTATAGCAAAAATTTTAAAATTTACTAAGTTTATTCAAATGAAACCCTAAAATAATATAGAAGAAAAGCCTTGAAATCTTTATGCTTTTATGCCTTCTTCTCATAATATAAAATTTGTAAGTGGCATCATTGATTTACGTACATAGATGCAAAATATACCACAAACTTTATACGTAGCATCTTTAATAAATTTCCTAATATAGAATATTTTTACCCAAAATAATATTTCTTATATTGTAGATAGCAAGGATAGCAGATCCCACACTCTTTTGATTATTTTCTGTTCTGTTTTTCTTCAAATATTGTTTTTATCGCTAATTTTTCATATTATATAATAAGTGGTAGATTTATGGTACATGTAATGACTAAAGGTGCAACTTTATTCAAACTTATATCCCATACAATTTCAAAATGTATGTTTTACATACTACTTACTTACAAGGCAGAATGACATAAATATTTAAGTGTGTATGTATGCGTACTTAATTGTATGTAGGTGTATGACGATAAAAATGTATTATGCAAAAATGATAGCGTGCTTTTTTATTGTTATGCTTGTTCTTTTATATTATCCTACATAATATCTATTTTTAAAGGATAATCTTTATGAATTTTTTATTTTATAATATTCAAAAGGGAATTTTTTATTATTTTTTATGTGTTATATTTAGTTTGCGGGACCTCGCATCGTATAAACTCACATGATATTCAATGAGAATGATAAAAATTACAAAATGAAAAAAGAGAAGAAATCAAAAATGATATCTTATTTTCTTTTCTTTCGTATTGTTATTATAGGAGATTTTTTTCTTTTCACCCTACATAATAAATGTGCTCTTTAAAGCATTTATTGGAGGGTACATATAATAAAATGCAATCTTTAATGTCATTTTTAATGTTTAAAATGAAAGAGGAAAATCGTTTTTTTTTTGTTTGATGTAATTGAATTTTTTTTTTCGAAGAACGGTTGCGGTAAAAAATATTAGTGGTTGCTTTAAATTATAGAGTTCAATCGGATAACATAAAATACTCAAATCATATAATTCAGCCTATGCAATAGTAGTTATAAAAATTTATTACCTACTCTATATAACTCTAATTTCTTTTCTATATAGCTCTAATATTTTCTATATATTTCTATATAATTCAATTTAAACTTGCTACTTATCAACTGCTCTTAATTACTCCGTAATAGTTTAAGGTGTTATAGAACTGTAAAATATTTTAAATCGAAATAACTCGATTTATGAATGTAGTGCAGTTTGTGCTCTGATTTTCAGTTTTTTTTTAAGTACTCATTACGAAGTTAGCTAAGACCTAAGAGTAAAAGCCAATTCGAATTAGATAATAAATTAATTTATCATAACAACAATAACTAGTATTGAGGCGAAGTTTCATAGTTTAAATGTGTTCACGTTGTTTGTTACTTAGAGGGTTATAGAAAACATACATACTTACGTTTCTTTAAAAAAAGAATAGGCATTATAACAATCAATTTTGACCTTTTATCGCCGATATAGGAATATAACCATAATATTTCATGAAGACTATAAATTTATTTGAAATCGTGGAAGTTCTCAATCGAATATTTTGAAACATATCATTTAATCAATTGAAAATTTGGGAAACTGAGAAAACGAGTTCATTACCATAAAGTCTTTAAAAATAGGTAGAAGCGTAAAAATTCCGTTTTGTCTATGAAATATAACAATAAAGCAAATAATTATACGAATTATATCTATTCGGGTCAATTACGAAAAATTTAAATTGATTTTTATACCTTTGAATTGGCATGTTTGAATTGTCTTTCAATTGGAGCATACTCGTATATAGATTGTACGAAGTATTTGCGATCACTTAATTAGAAAAATCAAATATTTTTCAAATTTTCTCTTAATATCGCTAAACTTTTGGATTGCTTATTTTTGGTTAATTTTTTTTTATTAAATACAAAAGAAGCAGTAAGAATATGGATTCAAAATTTAATTCTTTTAAGTCAGTTGAATTAGCTGAATTGATTAACCTTGCATATAATTTATAAACTCAGACTTAGAATGTGGTATAGAAAATAATTATGGCCATACAAATAAACGAAAAATGTTTGATTTTCTACGATTTCTCCAAAAAAATTTTTTAACCGTAAGTGTTAATTCTTTGAAAACAGAAAATATTCAAAATCATACAATTTATGTACACATTTTTAAAAAAATTTTCCTTTTTCACTTCCGTTCAGAAGTCAATATGTACCTTCGAACTGTTTATAGCAATTTGGAAATTTTATTTATTCGCTTTAGGATATTATCGTTATGTATATAATTTGAGCTCAATAAAAATTTGACAGAGCTTAAAATTCATAAACATACACAGAGAAATATTTAGAGTAAATATTGATATTTTTGTATAGTAATTCAAAATCTAAAAGGATAGAGTTTTTCAAAAAAAAAAACAAAAGAAAACTTCCAGTGTTTTAATGAACAAATATTAAAGATAAATATTTTTTAGAACGGAAGCGTTTTCTATTTAATATTCGTTAACGGGGTAGCTACAACATCGATGGCTAGAAATAACATGAAATTGTTAAATTTTTCCATTGATTGATGTTGTTCTTACAAAGAATTTCTTTCTTAATTTTGTGTACATGTACAAAAATTTAAAGCGCGCAAATTAAGTTTTGTATAATAATAACACATTGGAGGAAGCTAAATTTTGTATGTCATATTAAAAATTTAATCAATGTTGAATATTTGGAATTGTGAATGTAGGTACGATTTAAGATTACACAAAAGTGAAAGTCTTGCAAAGTAAAAGAATATTTTAAAAAAATATAAGGTCATACAATGTTATTCATTCATTGATTTTTAGAATTCGACGAATTTTGACCCTATTTTTTAGATTCTAATCAATTAAATAGAATATGTTGTGGAAAAAATCCAAACCCTAGTATATTAGAGTAAACTGTATTGATTTTATAAGGAAGAGTATATATTGTTATAATTCTATCTAAAACTTGTATAGCTGAGATAACATTACGTTTTGTTTGTACGAATGATATAAAAAAAAGCATTAATAAAGGATAAAAATATATTGTGTCACACATTTACAAAATATAATTTTCAAGTCATTAAAATGGTAAACTTACCTTAATAGTTTTTAAAAGTGAGTTGTAGTCTAAAAAAAAAAAGCAAAAAAATTTTTAATTAAAGATTTGAAAATTTTGGAATTAAATTACAATTTTTTATCAAATAAAATTTATTGTTCAATATTATACAATAACAAAAAATTAAATTATTTTATATTGTTGATATTAAAAATGAGTTAAAAAATATTCAAATTGGAACTCAAATTCCAAAAACTCAAACTTCTCTTTGATAGACGATTTTCGAGTTAATTTTGAAATAAAGATAATCTGAATGTAATTTCTAAAATCTAAAAGTGTAATTTTCTATATTTTTTATGTTGTAAATTCATATAAGTTTGAACATAATTGTGAATTTGTGTTGTAAATTCACGTAAATGCTAACGTAAAAGAATGTAGATCCGTTTTTTTAATTTCCTTATTTTGAATCGCCATATTTCTGTATACTTACCAGTACATAAAAAGTTAAAATATAAAATATTTCTCAAACTTCACTTTTGAATTAGTAATTTTCAAAATAAAATTTTTTATTATCTCATGCTATCAATTCAATAAATTTCAGACCATAATTGCATACATTTCAAATTTTTTTTTATGCATAAATTAAAGAATCAAAAATAAAATTTAAATAAAATTTAATTTTATATTTTAAACATGCAATAGTGATAAAATGCGATTTTCTTATTTGAAAGTAAAAAATTTGTATATAAATATTTCTAAAAATGCAAATTGCAATTGTATGCTAAGGTTTGTAATTAATCGAAGGGAAGTAAAACACTTATTTTAAAAATTTATATAAAACTACATTTCCTTTTTGTGTAATAATAGTTTATTGTGGCCCATAGTTCTATAAAATAAAATTTAAGAAAAATTTATGCGAATTGAAACACAAATTAGTGTAAAGTTAACAAGAAAATTTTTGATCCATAATTAAAAGAACGCAAGTAATACAAATGTGGAAACAGTTTTTCCAAATGCTTCTAAGAATAAAATGGTGCCGAAAAGTGAGAGGCTATCAATATTAATTAGACAATTAAAATAATAACGTTTCTTTAAATTTTTTTCTTTTGTCTCTTCCTAAATGTATGCAATATTTTATTATATTAATGAAAATTATTAAAATTCTTGTTTTTAGAACAAATGTTTTTACTTATTCAAGGAAAGCTGCTATTTTAGAAACGATTAGTTTGATGAAGTTATTTACAATTTGTGGAAAATGTCGATTTCGAAATGTAAAATTGTTTAATTTATTTACGCTGATAAATGCTATAGCTATATTATAAAATAATTTTATGATTTATATCAAATATTTTAAATTTTTAATTAAATTGATAATAAATTTAATAAATCTGAGGAATAAAATTAGAACTGAATACTTCAAATAGGTACCAATATTATTTTATTTAAATCTTATTTTTAATGAAGGTGTGAAACAATACACTTTCCGTTATTATCATAAAATTTAATAATATATAACTTTATTTTTGTTTTTATAATTTTCTAATTATATATATTTATAGAAAAAAATCTCATTTAAAATTTATTAATAATTTTATTTTACTAATTATCCTGTTTTCTTCATATTTTCTTTATTAATCTAGTATACAATAGCTATGTATAATCAAAATCTTGAACTGTAAATTTTAACTATTACCTTAATCAGTATATTTTCAAAATAATATCCTTAAAAAAAAAACAACATAAGAATAATAACGAAAAAAAAACACAATAAAATTAAAATTGCTTTTGCTTCAAGGTCTCAATTTCACACTTCATAAATTTTCTTGTATCAATGATATTTTTGTACACAAGCGATATTTTAACGTTACATTTGTAAGTATATAAGACAATTTCCTGTAAACGAATACACTCATATATACACTGTATACAATAAACCTATATTTATCTAAAATAGTAACACTTTCTCACGAAGCGATTCCATTATCCTGTAAACTTTTTAGAAGTTAAATAATTATTATATTTAAAACTTTTCTAAGGTGTTTATATTTACACAAACATTTTATGTATCCGCAAAACTAAAATATTTACCTAAAAACTATAAGAAAGAAATATAAAATAATAAAATGTTTGTATGTAACTATAACTATATAGAAAATGTTTAATTTTAACAAAAGATTACAATAAATATATTAATATTGCCATATGTTTCACTTAAGTTAAAATTATCCTTTTTTATATTTTATTATCGTTTTAAATCATTAAACTATCTCACTTATCATATTTTTATCACACTATTTATTTATTAGACAGCTATAAAAATATATGTATAGAAGATAAGAAGTGCACATAAGGAACATTGTTATATTCAGAATTTTTAAAATTTTACAAGAAAGTAAACGCTATAAAAGTAATCTGAACGCACACATACATATATACCTAGGAGTCATAATATTATATCATTATGCAATACACAATATTATGCAATACAAAATACAAACATTTATACATAACTATATAAATAAACATAGATGTTATATAGCTACGATTCAACTGCATTGCAAGTGCATATTCATAACAAAACTTATAGGAAAATAAGACTACAGAATATTTATTTAGTGTTTTCTTTAAACTCTTATACGAGAAAGTATACATAGAGAATATTGTCAAAAGGTACAGCACATTCATGATTTTCTAAATATGATATATGTATAACAGTATTAAATTTCAGTTTCTTCACTTGAATTACACGTTTGCGGATAATTTATAAAAGTAAGCAAAAGTAAATTTATTTTTTATTCATTTTGTTTTTGTTATTTTTTTTTTGAAAATTCAAGGAAAAAAGAGAACAAGAATTTACTGTCAACGAATCTTTTAGTGTGTACAATTATATTAAAACACATACATTGTGCACACGAACACCTAAGAGAAGTTTTAATTAAATTTAAAATTCACTTTGTACATATTTTAATGGTATGTTTCGGTGCTATTTGTGTGTGTTTTACAGAATTATTTCATAAGTGAAATGAAAATTGTAAAATATTTTTGTCGTTTGGACAGTTTGGACATGTATGTAAGTCATATTTTCACTAAATTGAATTTATAAACTTTCATAAATAAAAAGCAATTAACCCACAATTTAAAGTTCAAAATTTCACAATTAAATAGTTATTTAAGAATATTATATACATGTTTATTTTATTAGGGCAAAAAAAATAAAAGTATTACAATAAATGAAAACTTAATGTAAACGCATACCCAGATTAAGGATATCCATTTGTATCGAGTTTTACAAAAATACAATAAAAATTTGATTAATAGCAAAATTAAAATTAAAATATTTTAACAATAAAATTTTATTAATGCACAATTTTTAATGAGCAATTGATCAGGAAGTTTCGGTATTGTATTACATTCTTGCCGGCCTCAAAAATTCCTCTTCTGACATACATATATGATAAGTTACCAGAAACAATAATATCAGAACATGAATTTCATATATTCCGCAATATTATTATTTCCGTAATTTCATTAATTTTTAAAAATTTTCGAGCAATTAAGCTAGTTAAGAGTATTACCGAAATTATTAAATATATATAATTTTCCAATATTTGCAACTCATTAAAAATTTATTATAAACGAAAACATTTACTTTGAGTGTACCTAAATCGAATGTGAATTGAAAATCATGCATTATATTTTACATAAATTGGAACCTGCTGCAATATTTTTATTTAGATTCATTTATCCTTTTTAGATGCAAATATAGATTGCGTTTTTCTTTTGTAGAATACAATGTTGTGGCATATAAATTTTATGGTATCATTAAAGTTATAGGGTACAAGGTAAAAAATTTTAATTAGTAAATTTTTTTCGGTTTTCGAAAAATTTTCATATTTATATATGTGTAGATATTATGAAGTTTTTAATAATAAATTCCTTTATTATAAGCTTTTTAAAATCCTTACATTTTTAGTTGCCCATTACTGATTGTTTGCTTTTATTTCATTTATGTTATGATTTTAATTTCATTTTTTCCACTTTTACACTTTAATATTCCGGCCTTTATTTGTATAAATATAATTTCAGAAAAGGAAAATTTTTTTTTGGTTTTGTTGATCAAATTATCCTTTTCGTGTTAAACATCATTTCATAATAGCAAACTTGCAAAACATTACAGAAAAAAAGGTCTTCAAACTCATGACTCATCACAAATGAAATGAAATGAAACGAAAAAAATACATTTATAAAGAATATGCAAAATTTTTTATCGTTTTTTCACTAACGGTACTCTCTACCCAATGATAACAAAGAAGCTAGTGTTTGTTCTTTAGAATTATAATATTTCAGTACTGCTATAACAAAACTGTCTGTACGATTTGCTTTTTAGTAAATGTAGTCTTTTTTTTGAAGAAAAATTATAATTTAGCATAACTTTTGAACGATACTTTTAACTTCTAAAGTCTATTTTCATTTCAAATATGTTTTCATTTAATTACAGTACAATTTAATTTTGTTAGATTTTCAAATAAGAGTTTTTTAAGCATTAAGTATTACTATATGGCAAGAGATTGGGGTTCAGTAATTTGTTACACAATAAAATTTTACTATATAAAATGTAAGGAAAGAACCAAGTTTAGCAAAGATAGTTGATTTTTTGAATCGCATATTTTGCTTTTAATTCATGATTTTTTAGTTTGGGACCTACGTTATTTCTTGTATAATTTTCTTTATGTAATTTTTCAATTTTAATATCCCCGTTTTTAATACATTTTCCCATAACTTAACTACTTCAACTATTATATACATGTACTTCATTTCTTTGAAATTTATAATAAAATTTATTGCAATACTCGTAATATTGTGTCTTAATTTATTTAACATTCTCGTAATAAATTCTTGCCTAACGAACTCAGCAATAATATCTTCAAATTTATAAACAAATTTAAAATTTTATAAACCTCGATACAATCTCATTGCATATATTTTTAGATAAAGTTGAAAATTTTTTCTCTTTTCATGTCAACTTCATATACATTAACTCAAAAATATTGTAAAAAAGTTTTAATTAAAA